TGTAATGACAATTTAAAACAACTGAAAATGAGATATATATTATATATAAATCAAACAATTAAAATAATCAATAATCTGTGTATTTGCAAAATTAAGCAAAATTTTTAAATAGTGTTTAGATCCTCCAGTCTTCATACCCAATGGCCTCAATCTTCAGAGGACAAAGACGATCAACTGGCATATGATCTTTGATCTGCAATCGCCACCCATAAAAGCTGGTTGGTAAAAATTTTGGTACACAAATCCAAAACATAATTAGAAAACAATACAAAAACATGGTAATTGCATGCAAAACACTGGTTACAAATAAAAACAGAACAAAAAATGCTGAAAAGTCAGTCTGAATGTACTCTTGGATATTCACTGATTAAAAACAAAGGTAAGTACAAGGAATTTCACAGTTTGTAGATTTGATTCTACATGAGTTGAATAATATACATACATTTTAAATTAAGAATTATTAAGTTTTCTAAACCCTTTTCTGATCTTAAAATAGTCGAATGTTTTGAGAAAAAAAATTGTGAAAACTTCATCGCAACTTGTTTGTGATATCAAAATTTCTAAGATTGGTTTCAAACTTTTTTTAGTGATAAAACAAACACAAAAATATATAAACTGCAGTACCCAAACAGAGAGATTTGGCTTGAAATAAGTGTTCTAGTAAATAAAGACAAATCTCTATGATTCAGTTACCTGGTTATTATCATTTAACCTTTTCACCACCAGTTTCCTTTTTTTCATCACAAATTCACAAAATAGTCCCGTTTATAGTCTGCACTTTACTTCAGAAGATTGGGACAAAAATAGCCAAAAGTTCACGAAAAACTGAAAATTGATTTAAATTTTGTCTGTTGGCTCCAAAATTAGGAAATGAATTGAAGAATATAAGAAAAAAGTGCAGAAAAAATTTGGGCGAGAAAGTCTGGTGGTGAAAAGGTTAATCAATTCTACCAAATAATAAATTATAATTTCTTTGATTACTTAAACCACATTGATAACAATTCTTAATCTGTTATCACAACCTACAAATGACATGAAAATTAAAATTATCACAAATTTTGATGAAAATATACAAAAAAACAACAAACTTGTGCCAAAAATGTGCAAGGAAAACAAGATGGTTGTTCTGTTAGTTATTATGTAATAACATAAATAATTTATATATCAGAATATGTAATATTTTTAATATATATTTTTAAAACTACCAATTTTATTTGTTACTGCTGGCCATCAACAAGATGCGACTGATAATAATTTGCATTTTAATTGCCAGTACAATGTTAACAGTAGACTTCGCTAAAACAACCACTGGCATCAAATTATACAAAAATCATTCATTTTCACTGACGCTAACTAAATTTCAATTATTTTGATTTTTTGAGCACGTTTATGGAAATGCCAGTGCAACAATAACTTCAACTATAATGTTGAGATAGAAGTAATATATTTTGCAAAAACGCCTTTTACAATATCTATAAACTTTTCCACATAAAAACATTCACAAAAAAAATCAATCTATAACAACAGCGGTGTAGCTAAATAATTTTGCCAAAACGTGAATTTGTAAGTTACAAAAATTAGCACTGAAAACATAACAAAAATATGGAAAACAAAAACCTGGTTTGCGAAAATGACTTTGGCGTAGACACAACATGCAACCGGGATTCTAAAGAACAAAAATAAAATCTTTTTTTTTCTTTCTCTCTGCATATATACATTTTGTCTTACTTAATTGAAGCTTTCTTATAACCACCATTTATAATATATAAACTTTACTCTTGTTAATATAAAACAAACACAAACTAGATTAAACTTATAAAAAAAAATGTGCGTATTATTATTAACTGCCATGGTTATTACGGAGTGAATAATTCTACTTGTCCACAGAAAGCAACATGTCCAAACAAATTTATTACACTTGGCAAATATAATGGCAGAAGTTTTCATATATGCACGATGGCACACCCATATATGGAAGATGTCCAAATATGAATGTGATGACATGCCCATATATGGAAGATGTTCAAATATGAATGTGATGACATGTCCATATATGGAAGATGTCCAAATATGAATGTGATGACATGCCCATATATGGAAGATGTTCAAATATGAATGTGATGACATGTCCATATATGGAAGATGTCCAAATATGAATGTGATGACATGTCCATATATAGAAAATGTCCAAATATGAATGTGATGACATGCCCATATATGGAAAATGTCCAAATATGAATGTGATGGCATGCCCATATATGGCAACACTATCCATATATAGAAAATATATGCAAAATAAGAATGTGAGCTCAGTTACATATTTGCAAACACAGCCCAAACATTTCTGTTTCATTTATTCCAGGCTCAAACAATATGAAACAACAAATTTGAGGGCAGAAACTGCAGTGATAACTTTTGCACAAATGAGTGGGGGAGAAAAATGTCAGAAAAAGTTTCCAAATAAACTCATGAAGTCAAAGGCTATGTACAGATACAATATACACAGATTGTCACTTAGCATATGCAGCCGATATAGAGTAGATGTATAGTTTCGGGGTCCACATGAAATCATGCCAGCGAATCACACTTTGCTATAAACAAACACTTCGTCATCTTCAAATCCTGATTCTCTATAGTCTGATGGTGATCGATTGTTATTTGACGATTTCCCTCGACCTGTAGGCACTTTCCAATCAACTATTTGTGTAGGTACTGAATTACCCAGATTGATGTCACAATATTCCTCGGCAATATCTTGCTGATGAGAGTTACTCTTGACTTTCTTCTTTCGAAAACTCACAGTGGGGCTGTTCGTCTCTTTGTCCGTGTGGAGAGACACTGATCGAGACATATTGCATTTAGGAGAGGAAGGGTTGTGAGCATCGGAGAGGGACAGTGCTCGCCGGATACTTCTACCGGCTTGGTGGCTGTGTCGTTTGGGCTGCGTTGAGTTAGATGGCAACTGGTTTCGAGCTCCTACTTTACGTTCTTTTTGGCGTAATTCCACAGCAGCTTTCATTGCAGTATAGAGGAATTCAAACTTGTCCTATAATGTACAGAATAGTAGACAATTTACAATCACCAAAAACAAACAAAAACAAATGTACAATCAATATGTTATAATAATTCATAACAAATTTTTCCCCAAGATAAGCATCACCTATAAAATCAAACCTACTGTTTTATCACAAATCAGAAATGGTAATCTCTTTGTTTTATTTGGAGGGGGTGTTGAAAGCGATTTTTAATGTTTGTTTCCCCTTGTTTCACACAAATGTGACTCCTTTTTATACTCTCTCTCTAATATTGGGGGTCTGGAGAAGCAGAATATGGGGTTAACGCAATTTCTGGTTGGCTGGAAAGGGTTTAATGTTGAAAAGAAAGGAGATTACGTTTGCTGGGTGCATGTTTTTCCTATCTACGTCCCCTTATAAATGACAGATGATCAGTCGTACTATGAGCTATATGAGAACAGCATAGATGATAAGTAATGAGTGATTGGTATGATGACCTAAGTTTATCAGAGAGTAACATACCTTGGTTAGAAAACACCCAGGTCTGCGTAAATTGTAGAGAAGCATAATACTGTATACATCAATACTGTCTTCGTGTTTCAACTGTTGGAGTAAGGTGGACAATGCACAGAATGTCACAGCGGTAGTGGAACCAAACCTGTATAAGAGATAAAAAAAAAAACAGTTATGAAATTGATTTTTTGTTGCATTTTGTGTACTTAGTTTAAAACATAGGTGAAACTATAACAAGAGTAATCATATATTTCAGTATCAACCATTACAGAAAGTATAAAAAAGAGAGATAAAAGTAACTTCCAGAAACAGTTTTTTTCCTTGAGAAGTACAGTAGCATGGTTTGGAAGAATGTCCTTGTTTAAAAAGAAACAATATCCTTATTTGGGAGAAAGACTTCCTTATTAGAAAGATGGACTTCTTTATTAGGGAGACAGAAATTCCTTATTAATTAGGACAACATCCTAGTTTGTCTATCTAATTAGTATATGAAAATATTATAATGAATTGTACTTTAGAGAATACATATTGTAAAATTATTTCTTGATTCCGTAAACACTTACTTGTCATGCACAGTAACAGGACCTTCAAATTGTTGTTTCCATCTTTGTACGGTTGTAATCAATTCAAATATGGTCTCTGGTGGCGCACAACTATCTGGCCAATAACCGCACTGAAATTGACGTACTTCCATTATGTAATCGTCCTATGGGAAAACAACCAAACAAGTGTTTATAGTTTGGCCTTTTAAATCGACATATTAAAACTAAACCAAATCACTCCACCAATAAGTCAAACCATCTTGATTGTTGTGATGGGGAGTGGTTTACCACATGCATAATGTACATGTACCAGTATGTATCTCCATAGTGTGATGTAATATAGGTCAGATCGACAATACATAGTTTGATGTCTCATACTGCTGAACATTTTGTAATTGCATGCGCTGCCTGAAGGTTACCCAGGAATTTCAAGTTTACATACGGTCTGATAACTACAGACTTAGGTAAATATGGTTCATTTTGACAAGCTCGAATTGACACAAAACTCCGGTGGTAATCACTCGTGTCTGCTGTCGTCACCCACAAGGTAGCATAAACAAAATCTATGGTTTCTGACCACTTTTGTTGATTTCAGTTTTCAAGCATTCTCACTGATGAATGGGTAATGTTAATTGCTTTAATTTCATATGAGACAACTCTCTGCTAGCAGTGAAATGTTTTTTCGGGTCATATGACTAAGAGTTTCATCAGCTTTCCTGACATTTTATCTTCACAAACGGCATAAATTGTAAAAATTAATAACGACAAAAATAAAGCGAGTATTTAAGTATTTATATGAGACGTAACATCCACACAGTGGCAGCGATCATGTGATAATATAATGAACCTTATTTGCATACTAATATCCACCTACCTGATTAGACTGGATAATATAATCCCTTGTAATCATATTAAGATGGTGTTCCTCTTTGCTTAGCGTAACCGTGAAATTAACACAATCTAAGTCTTTCTTTTCAGGTGTCGGCCAATAAATGGCTAATTTCCCTTTCTCCTATAATGAAATAACCCACTATTCAGATTAGTGTGTGTTTCTATAAGTTATTTGAGTGTAAAATACTGTAAAATGACTAATTTTCACTGGGTTTAAATTTCACTGATTTGCCATTTTAGGCATATTCTTTGGGTTTTAAATTCACGGTTTTATCATTTAGATAATGTGTTCTATGCTAAATTTTACATATTCACTGGGTTTTAATTTAGCGCATTTTCCAGTCAGCAAAATAAGCCAAATTAAAACCCAGTGAATAATTAACCCCTTTACAGTATGTTGTTGTTTCCCAAAAAACATTGTACATGAGGTTGTTCTAGTTGAGATATAAACTCTTAGACTACCTATTCACTAAACAATCACAGCTCTCTTTTAAGAAAGTTGACAACCATTAGAACAAATGATTGTATTTTCTTGACATTTACACAAAGATTTTATTTGATGTTTGTTGTTATATATGGTAACCAAACTTCTTTTCGCAACACAACAAAAATATGATTTTAGAGCCATTTATCATTGGTTCTTGTCATAAAAATTACTCATTGTATCTCAGAACCTAGTTTGGTTACATATTATTTTAATAACTTGGACATTCTGATGATTTCCTTTCATTTTTTTATGAAAATAATGCATGACTTCCTATGAAGTACACTTTTATATCTTTTTAGGGAGTATTTCTCCCAAAAAAATATTCCGTATGGGGAAATATCCTGAAAAGTCGATGTGTCAGAATCAGTAATTATGTGACATTCTTGATACATCACAATTGTTTTTGTCTCTATTTCTTAAAATCGAATACCCACAATCTACCTTAAAGCCATACTGCTAATCAGAACTGCTCATCTAGTCAATTAAATTACGTATCATGCTTGGTCATACATGTACTTATTAAATGTTTATTGTCATGATAAAAGATCGTTTTGAACTGTAGGTAAAGATGAACTAAAACAAATAAAATGGAACTATAGAGTACACAAATGTTCAGTTTCAATGACAACCCCTAATCTATAGTGAAATATCCAAGATACCACAGCAATTCTCCTCTAAATGCACAACTCACCAAATCCTCAGACGATATCAAACTAACAATAGTTTGCGAGTTGTGATCCCAGATCATTCGCCAGAAATCAACGGCTGTATGCTGCAAAGGATGCTGGGTGACAATGTACTCCTGGTTGCTTCTGTAACCCTGGTAACCAATGATGCAGAGAAAATGAAATATGAGAGAAGGATAGCAATTCACAGCTTGACTGAGACATGGTTATTTCAATCACACCAACGCTGAATTACCAGATTTTTACCAATTAATGTACATATCCCTTTACTACCTTGAAATGCAGATATTCCAATGAATGTAAATGTATAAATTATTCGCTGTTTTTTTAATTTCGCTATTTTCGTTGATAAAAAAAATCGCTAAATTAAATCCACATGAAATAACAATAGAACTCATTGTTTCCCTGCTAGGTTCATTATTTTAAAACCCAGTGAAATCACTCAAAGCATCTTAATAGTGAAATTAAATGCTAGTGAAAATAAAAGGTTTTACAATACACTAATAGATTTCAGAACTTAATTCGTGAGGTCATTGTTTCCATGGAATTATGTTTAGGTACTTTTTATGTGCTATTAGTCATTTACTAGTATTTGATGGAACCTTTTGTTCAGCGAAATATAAACAATTCTTAGTACTTTTAAACTTTCCATGTCTATTCTTCATATACAAGTCTTAAAATTCTAAAAGTCTGACCTGTAAAAACGAGCCATTGATGTAATCCGAGCCATCAACACCAGGTTTGGGCAACAGCTTCACTCTGGATCTCTCAACTGAAAAAGGAAAAAAAGATGCGTTTGTAAAGAAAGCAAAAATAAACAAAACATTTATGAAATCAAATCACGTTCGTTGATGTGGTGTTACTGTACACAATACAGATGAACTGAATGCTACAACTGACTTGACAGAAATGAAGTAATTTAGAGATTCTCTGTGGGTGCAGGCAGTACTTACTAGGTAGAACATCCTCGGAAGCATTTTTCAATATATTGTAAGGTCTGGTAGCCGAGTGTAACTCATAGTCCTTTGGCACATACTTTGAGATACGCTGTAAAGATATGTAAGAATAAAAGATTTACTGATGAACAGGTGACTGGACTTTGTTTAAAATATCTTTATTGGAAATTTATGATTGGTTGATAACATTTTGAAATAGAGAACATAATTGGTTGTTTAGTTTCTACAAAGTGACAACATATTTTTTGGTATGTACCATATACTGCTTTGCCAGCACCGTAACATCTGAATCATCTGGAAGTAATATTTTATCTTGTAATGATTTAAAATAGTCATCGTACTCGTCCATGTTCACTTCGGTCACACCGCTTCGGACAGCCTCTAGTAATGCATCATGCAGAAAAATGTACTGACCCTGAAATATATGAAAAATTTAAGATGAGACACAGCTGGTTAGCAATGAATCAGTCGCAGGTGGAACACACCGCACATTTTTGTAGCTGTTTTCTCCATTGAAGAGATAGTGTTGAAATCGTAATCTTATGGCGGTGCAAAATTGTCTAGTTTCTGCAATTCACCTATTCTCAGTGTTAAATTCTATGGCAAAATACACTGACATTGTCTGTATTTGGAAGCTACATGTGTTATTTGAATATTCATGAGTAAATGCCTGTATTTGGAAAGTATGATTTGAATATTCATGTATAAACACCTGTATTTGGAAACCATGATTTGAATATCCATGTATAAACGCTTACATTTGGAACTATGATTTGAATATTTATGAGTAAATGCCTGTATTTGGAAACTATGATTTCAATGTTACCTGTTACCTATCCTCCAGATGCCAAGTGGCACATAGGGCCTCCACCGAACGTCTCCATTCTGTCCTATCAGCTGCTGCAACTCTGGCTTCCGCCCATGACTTCCATCTAGCCTTGTTTCTTTCCTTTTTGACAGTACGTCGCCAAGTTGTTTTGGGTCTACCCCGTTTCTTTTTCCCTTCTGGTGCCCATGTCA